TGTCTCAACTTCTGTCTGAATTCCTCACAACATTCTTTCTTTTTCAACTTCCACCACTTGGTCTTCTTTGCTGTCTGTCCTCTCCTCTTCTTCCTGACCACCAGAGTCATCCTACACACCACCATCCGATGCTGTCTGGCTACACTTTCTCCTACCACCACTTTGCAGTCACTAATCTCTCTCAGATTGCCTCGTCTACATAGAATGTAGTCTACCTGCATACTCCTACCTCTACTCTTATATGTAACTCTATGTTCCTCCCTCTTCTGGAAATAGGTGTTAACTACAGCCATTTCCATCCTCTGAGCAAAGCCCACCACCATCTCTCATACAGTTTCCAACTTCAAACTGATCACCCTGTCTGACATTCTTTTCACCTCTAAAACATTACTCACCAGCTCCTCCTTCAGGATCACTCCTACCCCATTTCTCTTCCTGTCCACACCATAATAAAACAGTTTGTATCCCCCTCCAATGCTTCGCGCTTTGCTACCCTTCCACGTGGTCTCCTGCACACACAGTATATCTACTTTCCTTCTCGCTCTCTACCTTTCCCTGTCATTGTACCAACGTTAAGAGTCCCTATTCTCAGACCTATACTCCCGCCTTTCCTGTTCTCTGTCTATGAATCCTTCTACCTCCTCTCCTTCTTCGACCAACAGTAGTCCAATTTCTGCCAGCACCCCGTAGGTCAACAGCACTGGTGGTGGTCGATGTTAACCCAGGTCTTGACCAATCTGGTATGGAATTCGCACTGATGATTCGCATGTTTAAATTTGGCATGTTTTTACGGTGGATGCCTTTCCTGACGCAACCCTCTCTATTTATCCGGGCTTGGGACTGGCACAGAAGTCACTGGCTTGCAACCCCTGTGGCTAATCTCTTATACTATGTATAATGGGGGGAAAAAAAGTAAACCAACATTGTCAGGAATGAGTAAATTCTAGGCAGTGTACATTTATCTCAGATTGTCAGTTTAAGCTATATAGCAATACAACATGTGCAATGAAGTATAGAAACTTGTCACAATAAAAATTACTTTGGTATACTTTACCTAAAGATATCCAACTGGGACAATGCCTGTACAGATCACCTTTTTAATGCCCTCAGCAAGGAAAACGTGTCAGTGACCACACTGCCACTGACCATTCACTGGTTGTCCTTTCAAAATGGCTCGTCAGCATTGAATAGCATTAACCCCAAACCTGAACACATATTATAGTATTCCTATGCCTTTTAACAAACACAACAATGTTGTTTCAATTCTTTATTTACAAATGCTCTTGTATAGGCAAAATGTCCTGATATGATCATTTTTAACCAAGAGATAAATTTCAGAGTTGCATCTAAAAATATAAGACTAGTGAGACAATCTGTGGTTATTTCATATTGTGTCAATTTGTATTACTTGATTACACTGTCAATACAATTTTTAAATAACTATTATACAGCAATGTTCCATTACGTTGAATAACATATACCTACATCGTTGTGCAAGATTTATTGTGCTTCATATATACAGTTGTCTTTAACAGTTCATAAAACACTTTTACAAAAAGTTTTTTTTATATATAGAAGCTGATGTATGGCCACAAGTAGCTTGTTTTGACTATGGCCCTAAAACAATACATACCACGTAGTTCTAGACTATCTCTAACAGTCAGAGCGGACAGTGACATTGTACATGGCACATCATCATGAACAATGACAGCAGTCAGAGACTGAACAGTGATGAGACAGAGAACCAAACAGTGGAGTGTAATCTATAGTGCCAAAACACTGAAACATGGGTGGTTCCTCAGCACTGCTCAAACCCTGCCATCAGAGAGAGGGCGAGGGATTCCACTGTACAGGGAGGAAAAGCACAGAAAACAGGATTACTTTCATGTGAACCATTCCTGTTTGTACATAAAGAAATAATGTAAAACATTACAGTACTTGTAATTTTCAATGTAGTTGACTGAAAGTAAAAGGTCTATTTGAATTCAGATTTACTTACAGTGAGGAAACGAGCCACGACATACAGCCTTATTGAGTATTGTCACGAGGAACATGTGACAGTTTTTGAAATCTGACTCCATTTTATCAATGGACTCAATCCTGTAGTTAAGAGAGAAACACAATATTGACCTACAACAGCTCAGACGTTGAGTTGGGCCATTGCTATTTCTGAAACAACTGTTGAATTGTTTGGAATAATAATTTAAAAAAAACCCTATGTGAATCACCTTTAAACAATTCACCACAAATGTACTGACATCATAAGTAATATGTGTACTGTGTATAAATTACAGTTTAGATTTTAATTTTCTCCCAGCTTATATGAGAGCTCTTACTTCCAGGCTCCAAAACCAGCTTGCCATCGGTCAGAGAAAATGAGGACTAGATTGAGAACCTTCATTATTGCCTCCTTCACAAAACTGACCTGAGAAAACAGCAACAACAGTAGACACATAAAATGTCATAAATGTAGGAAGAAGGCTTGAGCCTGACCTCAGCCCAGCCACCTCAGTCTTATCAGGGTGAATTAGCAAAAAAATAAATTAAATAAAATATCACATGTATTAATGTATTGATCCCTAACCATAATTCCTTTCTCTGGCCCCTTGCCTGCAGCTTCTGCTTCTAGAGCTGGCAGACATTCAATTCTTTGCTCCAGGGGGTAAAATTTAAGTCTTGTTTAATTAACAATACCCGCCCTTAACCAGATCTACAGTTAACCCAAATCAGTGCCATTGAGTGTCATTTACCTTCTCCCTCAGCAGGCAACGGTCATGGATAGTTGCCAAATATTTGTAATGGATCTTAATCAGCTGGTCCAGGTCCTTAGCTTCTTGTACCTGGTGCTGAAACTCTAGCCCTGTGCTGTGCAGAATCTGACAAGAAAGAAAGTATAAAGAAACACCTGCCATTTCCCAAACCATAGTGTTTTAGATTAATTTTCTACCTTCCAAACACCTGTTGCTTCCTATTCATGTCCACATGGTCTGAAAATCAACTTAGTCTTGAACCTTGCTTCTAATAGCACAATAAAAAGTGTCATTTCTGGCTTTAACACAGTTTGGCAGCTCAGTGGTCATCAGACCGTCCCTAAAAGCACCACATTCTCTTATTTACCTGAAGTAGATTGTACCTGCAGAATGATATGCTTTGGAAACAGGTCGGCAAAGTACATTCTGACACGTCACAGAAGGAAAAGCACTGGTGTAAAATGATGCTGTTTCAGGGTCCTAGTGTTGTGCATGACTCCTCTCACCCTGGTCATGATGTAGTTGTGAAGGCTGTTGACAAAGTGCATCAGTTTGACACGCAGTAGACACATTCGGTGAATCTGCTGATTTACAGGCTCTTTGACCTTTACTTCCTCTGTGAGAGCTCCCTCCAGTTTCTTAGTGATCTCTGTAAAATCTATAAGAAACACTTTAGGAAACATTCAAATGGCCAAAAACATGTTAAATTTGTCCATTTACTGGGGACACTCTCCAAATACTGATGAGATTTTTAAGCACACTCACACCTAATTTGTTTTCATACATATTATTAGAGCTTTAATTTGGATAATACAGTGAAATAACTAGACCTGCAACAAACATTTTTATCAATTAACTCACTAATTATTTTCTCAATTACCTGATGACTTGTTCAGTCTATAAAATGGGGAAAAAAGCCCAACAGCATCATAAAATGGTTTGGTTTGTCTGATCAACAGTTCAACCCCCCAAAATACTGTGTGAGTGATATAAAAAAATCCTCAATCCTCAAATAAAAGGAGCAGGACCAAGTACATTTATGGCATTTTAGCTTGACAAAAAAACTCAAATGTTCATTTCAATCCTAATATTAATGCATACCACTGAATCGAAGTGTGTCTAAACTGTATTTGGCCCATTTAATCTGTAACAGGAGGAGAAACACTTGATTGTAGATCTTCTGACACTCTGAGCTGATCACAATATCTACAGGCCAGGGGACCTGTGTAGAGTAACAAATGTAAATGTCAACACAGCATTTAAAAAAAAAGTATTTAAGCAAACACATTCACTTTGCTTACCTTGTAACTGAGAGTAAGCACTTCTAGATTATTCACAGGGTGCTTTTTTCTAGAGGCATCAATGGTCTCCAAGAAGATTGAAAGCCTATGTATATATATTTAAAGAAAAATACATCAAATGACAGGAGTAAAAGTAGACTTTTGAATACTATTAAAAATAAAAGACCACATTAAAGTGGATAAATAATATATTTTCAACCTGATTCATTAAGGCATGCAGTACCTGCTACTGTCCTCTGGGTAGCGCTGTCTCACTGCCTCCTGCAGCTGCATGTTAAGAAAAGACAACTGCTGCCAGCTCTCCTTCTTCTGCACCTTGTCAAAGATAGCTGTGTAAAAATCATACATGGTGTCTCCAGCTTCCAGCAGGAAGTAGTTCCTCATGGCTTGGAGGTATTCCAGCAGTCTGTGGAGACATCAAGGAACTCAAAGGCTCTATATGCACTAACAAAAAATAATTAAAAGAAAGGTTGGTCATTCTATTCAGAAGCAGCTTTTGCTACGTATCTTGATATTCTCTTTTCACCTTGATGGATGAATAGGGTCCATTAAATGCACTGACAACATAAAGAGACAAATCCGTTGTCTGTGGCAGTAGCAGGGCTGAAAAAAAAAACTTGACCAATAATTTTACACAGGATGCGCAAAATCACTGGATGGCCTACCTGCCCGTAAACCTACTTCCTGCTAACAAACATCCTTGCCTTGCACGAGCCAAGAGTCTCCCACAAGGCCAGGTAGGCAGATGCGTTACTGCTCTGTTTTGATAGCTAAAGCTAGTGAGCTATGGCAGAAAAGGTACCCACAGCAGCTTTCAGTCACAAACAGAGACTGTTGTTACAGGCCGGGCCTTCCCTTTAAGACATATAGCCTTATAGGTAATGTTGCCAGAAGCTGCTACCTGCATGCAGTGTGCACAGTATGAGAGAGAGACGACGGCCGCACTGAACAGACTCCTTTTACACGCAGCCACAGGGGCAGAAAATACCAACAGCAGTCAGCTCTAAGTGTATAGACAGGACTGTAATGCAGTTAACTGGGCATCAAGGCCACATGCAGTGTTCGAGTTACCAAGACGGAATAAAGTCGGTGTTTTGAATGCCGTTAGCATCCCCTCTTCACTTCTCCTCACCGGAAAAGCCCGGACTTCTAAGGCTAGTTACCGGCTACGAGCCAGGGATAAAGCAGTTTAGCCATAAACCAGAGGTCCCCAACTATGGTTCAGGGCCACAGATCTGGGCGGATAACACTGTATTCAAGAAAGTTACAACTAAAAAGAAGTTGGATGCTGCAAGATGTAAAACCCAAATTAACACTGGTGTGGCTTTTGAACTACAGCAACAACTGAGAGAACTAAAGGGCCTAAAAAGCGGCTGTGCTTCTGCTGGACAGGGAATTATCAGTTTTGTTTAGTTTGGGGGTGGGGGGCAGGCATTTGTTATTTTCCTGAAATCTGTAGTAGTAGTCAGGCAGTGCAGGCTGCTGTGTGCGTTGTGTTTTGTAGGAGTGGCTTTGGCGAGAAGTCAGAACGAAAGGGTGGGATTTCTTCGATTGGCTACTTTCAAAATCAAGCTTCCTCTTGCTGGTTTTTCCAGTATCGCCAACCCTATCTTTAAGAGTCCTCACTGATTTAAGCGTGATGCTTACTTGTAGTCTTTTTTCAGGGTCTTCATCAGGTTCCCACAGCACTCAATGTACCTCCTCTCAATGTGGGGGTAGAGGCAGGAACGCAGGGTGAGCTCAAATGTCTGGCAGGTGACAGACTGAGAGGAGCGATCCACGATGAAATCCCCTCCAGAGAAGCGCTCATGGAAGTCACTCTGCTCCAAGAAGAGCCTAAGTTGAAACACAGACCACAGCTAAATTGTTAGACATATTTAACAAAAGTTAGTCTGGAGAGCTACTTGAATTATAATGTTATTACTGTTTACCTGGCAAAGTTGATGGCCAGCAATGGATCATGAACATCTTTGATCTCCAGATGTTGTGCCACGATGGACTGCATCTTTACAAGACTTCTCTTAGTGGCCTGCTGCTCAGCCACGATGTCTGCTGGAAATTCCTCTTGGCTGCAGAGGCGTGACTGGACTGACTCCAGAAACAGTGTGTGCAAACTCTTCCTTTCTGCATCTGCAAGGTCAAATGTTATTTTTCAAGAAAATATAGCAACTCTACTCTACTTAGAAAAAAGAAAAAAATAATACAACAACAATACAACTCTTATACATTGAAAAGTGTCTCTTAAGGGCAAGGCAAACAGTGACCTCGAGGGGATCTCTTGGAATCCTCAGCCTCCTTGCAGTCCAGATTTTTGAGCAGCTGCATGGACTTCCCAGCCATGATAATCTGCTTGAGGACCGGTTTGAGAAAGGACACCATGGTGAGCTGCCTGTTGCTGGAACCCTGATCCCCTCCAGAGCTCCCGCTGGCTGAATCATTCTGCTTCTCCTCATTCTCCACCATCTCTGACACACTGTAGAGAGTGTAGGTGGCGTACCAGAAATCCCTGTGGTTCACTGGGACATCCTTGTTCCTGTCCATGAAAAAAGAGCGAGTGTGTGGAAGTTAGAAAGTCATGTTGGAAGAAATGTTTAAACATTCTTGTCAAAACAGTTATGTTTTGATACCTCTGAATGATGAACTCTTTGGCAGGGTCAAACAGGTGGCCATGAACAATCCATTCATCCACAATCTCCAAATATGGCCTAACTGTCTCTGTCCACAGAGAAAATAACAGAGCCACCTGCCATGGAAAGATGACCCACATGAATGCATTAGGATTTGTTTCCTTGTTATGATCCATGAACCTTACGTATAGAAACTATTGAACCAACCACTCACAACTTGCTCTGAAGCTTCCCCGACACCATCATACTCAATGATAGCTTTGTACAGGGTGTTGAGTAAGTGTGAGGCCTGCACAACATTTGGAGTCTCAGGGGGGACTTCAGCAACCCCGGTAGAGAAGACTCTGTGCAGTACTTTGATCTGTGCCAGGTGACTGCTGAGCCGCTCCAGAACTGCAGACAGGGTCATTGTCTCATCTGCAGGAGGACAACTCATTAAGTATCAAATAATTATGGGAGGAGACAAATGCTAGAAATACTGTATACTGCAATATATTTCTAATAGTTTTTATCAATACACTAGCACCAATATGTTGTCTTGCCATTTCACAGCACAGGTGGAGCCTTTCTGTACCATAATCACTTCAACACTCAAAGTCAGAGTAACATATATTTTACACACCATATCATATTGTAATTGGACAGCACTTAGTGAGTGCAAACCTCAGCCAAGGAAGATCTGTCTCCCCATAATGCCGTTCTGCCTAAGAGCAATATTTCTATGATAGTTTGACTATTAACAATGAAAATCTACCCCATATCATTTGGAATCACACTGATATCAGTATTAGTTTTAAAGTTATTCTTAAACTTCATTAATAGCGATTATTTTCAGGATCTAGCGCAGCAACTGTTGAAGGTATAGCGATCTAGTTGATCCTGTACTGAATCATCAGAATTTCAGGTGGAATATGATCTTAGTTACAAGGCTCTAGCATTATTTGTTCTGTCACAGTAGCACATTTTTACATCAGCCCTATAAATGTGAACATAGTGGATCAGTACATCTGGAATATTGGATCCAGATCAAACTTTGGAGTGTGGTAGATCTTATGTAACTTATGCAATTTTTGTCCAAGCATTCTAGGTGTTATGTATGGAGTTAGGGAACTTTCAATATTTTTGTTTCTATCTCACAATGGTGAAGAATCATTTAAAAGGCTCCTTGGTTTGGATGATGATCTGGATCGGCATCAATATCAGATGGATTATTCCGTACCCTACCTCTCCAAAAAATGTCATCATTTGACTTTGGACAGAGCAATATTAACGGTTTCCTCCTGCCTCAAGTCTTTATGTTAAGCCAAGCTAACCACTGGCTGTAGCTTCACTACAGATTAACATTTGAATGGTATCAATATTCTCACCAAGTTGTCAGCAAGAAAACAAGCATATATTGAAAAATGTTTAACTATTCCTATAACACTGAAATTGGCATTTCAGCTGGTTGCCAGCGTACTACTTATTCAATCTGAATGATAGCATATGCATGTTAGTGTTATAAAGGCTATGTGTTGTGACACCAGTATTATCTTATAGTATATAGTATAGTATACAGTTATAGTATCGTAACCAGAGCTCGCCATTGATTTCACTCCCTTAAACATACTTGTAGGCTACTTGCCATTGCATATGAGCTCTCTTTCAATTGTGGTCAGCTCCTCTTTGAAGCTAGTGAAGTACTTGTTGAGTGCCCACACAAAAGCCTGATAGGTCCTGAAGGGGGGCTCTGAGCCCTTCCTGGAGCTGTAGCAGGAACCGGAGCCTGGTGGGCAAGGCTCCGAGCTGTACCCTGTCACCTCGTCTATGAACCTCTGGAGCCTGAACACTGCCTGCCCATACACAGCGATATGCTCCAGCACAGAGCGCAGACAGTTCTGCAGCACAGCAGGGGGAAAATATTGTGGTTTGTACAGAGGACAAAGTACTGTTTATTAAGATACAGGCATTTGTACAATTTCTGAACTTACACTAGTCAGATGAGTTACCACTACATTATTCCTTACTGAGACTTTCCCATCATGAAGTTGGAATATAAAGTGTTTCTTCACTCCAGACAGAAGCCTGCAAGATAATATCCATAAGAGGCAGCTCAACTGTCTGATGATTATAAAAAGATAGAGCTGTGAGAAAGTAGGAGATGAATGTATTAGTAAGTCTGTACAAAGAGCACAATCACACACCACAGCATCATTACATCTTACCAGAGTGTCTCCCGTATTACTTGGGTCTCTGTGACAAAGGCCTTTTCTTCTGGCAGATACAGTGGATCGGTGTTGTACAAGTGCTGATCCCTGTGAAAAGTTTTAACACTTTAATTCACTTAAACTCACACATCTGCTGAAGTGAACTTCAACCTGTTATAGGAGTCCTTACGGATATTACCTATTAAAAACAATATCACTGTCAATCTGGTACAATTTTTTCTGTAGGTATTTGGCCAAATATAAAATGAGCATTTGATTATGATGTAAAACAACGACCAAATTAGCAAAAATAAAACACTATTAAAATTAGAACAGTTTGCTATTTTTAGACCTCTTAACTATGCTAAGATCATCATAGCTGAAAATTGAAGTATATTTTTGCTACAACCTTACAAACATATATATTTTCTATGACTGCCAGAAAATGGCTGGGAAATGTAAGATAGTGGCACCAGCTTTGAACTACGCCTAGCATTTGGAACAAATTTATTAAGGTCTCTTTTTTTAGATTTGACATTATGAGAATAAAATTGTAGAGTTTCAAAGGTGAAAAAAATCATAGTCATATTTTTGAAAAATAAACTCATGTTACCATAATATAATCATAATTGCACATAATCGCTAACGCCTTAGGAGCAGGACTCCAGACTGTGAGTGATCAGTCCTATTTTGCGACCAATTTTATTTAAGGTGCAGATGACTTTTTTTCAAAGGTCACACTGGGTGTTACTGCAAAATAAACAGCTTATGCACAAACAATGCTCTCACTATAAAAATAGTGGACAGACCTACTGTCATCGCAGCGTTTATCTGCAGGTCTGTCACTCGCCCGTCTCACAAAGCAGAGACTTCAATCTATCAAATGTGTCGAGACACGCACATCATCGTTGGACCCCTTTTTTACGGTTCAAGTTTTTTCTTTCCTTCTGAAGTGTAAACACCACAGACAGCTGTTTAAATCAGGTAGATCACCTGTTAGCCTGTTTATGTGTTGGAAACATTTTACTTAAATCTCTCCTGATGAATCAGGCTCCTGATGTCACTGAGGTTTCTGGTTTTACTTTCCCCCTCCCAAGACAGGAAAATTAATAAAATAAATAAATCAAAACATATAAACACTGCTGATTCCTTGCTGACGAGCCTACATGAAAACTATTTTTGTCCAGTACATTTCTGCTGTCGGTCAGCCCAATGAAGACCGTGCTGTCCTCCTGGTGACAGACAGCTGTTCTGACGAGAGACCCTGCACAGAGGTTGAAGTTGCTGCGGATTAAATGGGTCAAACACGTCGCTCACATCTAGTGAAGTCCCAGATTTAAGTTAGCATTGGCTGAAACCCACCATCAAGTCCTCCTTTAAGTAGTAGGCTACTTTAGCCCAAAAATGAGCTGGCACTTAGCCATAAGAGTAAGAGCTGCATTGTGCATGGCGTCCAACGCAGACATCGCCAGAGAGATAAAATGATTCATCAGAAGAAAACAGGCTACAAATCACATACACAAACAGCAATACATGTGTGCAATTCATCAGTTTATACTTCAATTTAAATATAATAGCCTGATCTTCATCATCAGTGTCATCATTATCATCATGTTGACTGCTAGGCTATAGAGAACTAACATGACTACATAAAAAGAGCTGAAAACTTGTTCAGGAATTGATTTTCCCATTTACTCTGTTCCATAGGTCTCCTTAAATTTTATTATAAATACAGCCTATGCACACTAGATGGTAAGGTTGTTTAAAATTATTTATGAAAAATACAGCTTCTTTTGCATTATGTTGTAAAACAGAGGTGGTGTTAAATGAATGTTAAACTGGAGCCCTGATTAGGAGACTGAAGCTTTAAAGTTCTCTAATGCTGTTGAAAGTGTCCATCCATATTATATACTAAAATAAAAGCATACACAATAGTCTGGAATCTTACCATACATTGAGTAAGTTGGAGTGTAAATGCAAGCTGTGAGGAAAACGAGGAGCATGTGCAACCCAGTAAGGTGTCACTACATGATGTTCAAGCCAGGCCCGAGCCTCGGGTTCCCCCACTGGAAAGACACAAACAGGAATTATTTCAATGTAGACACACAGCTGCCTGTCTCTAGGTAAATCCAAGAGCCTGTAACTGGATCCACAATTCTCTCACTTGTCTTGTAAGACACGAGGAAAAGAGGCAAGGTGAAAAATCGAGAAAGGAATC